CACACACACACACACACACGACGCGTTACTCTGCGCTGTGCAAAACTCCGCATTTGAACAGTCAATAGCAAATACTTAAACTAATAACAAAACATACTTACAGTCACTGATTCAGAAGCGCCAGATTGTCATAGCAAAGTCGGAATTTACCCTTTTTTTGGGGGGGAAATAGTTTTTGTGCACAGCCAGCCTTGTACTCTTCTAGGTTAAAAAAAAACTGTCGTCCATAAAATGCATTGCACAAATTCGAACATCTGGGTTGTGCTGTTCTGTTGTAAATAAATCTTAACCAATGATTCCTAATTGCATCTACTTCCGGAAGGCCAAATAAAGTGTTTTTGCTTTCGCACTGAAATGCACAGTGTCTCCCTGACATGGCTGCATCAACACTACTGTTGTTCCTGAAACCACGCCTTCTTTCTTTGCGTGCACATTAGGGCTGCATTATGCTAATATTTCCACATAGTGACGTAGACATGATGGGGCGAGTTAGAACGAGCCGTTTTAGGTAGGCGTGGTTGACTCTTAACTTTTATGAAGAATATCTCTTTGGATTTGAGACTTTAGTCTTTGCAACTTTACAGATCTTCTTTATGCACCAAGAGCTTGTAACACTCCAAAGAGAAAGGAAAATTTTAAATCGCATCATATGACCCCTTTAAACGCTTAATGTCAAACTGTCCTCTGCATGTGCGTAACTGTATACCTCTTTCTCCAACTCCGCTTTGAGTTTCTCCTCCATCACTCTCTCCACTCTCTCCAACTTCTTCCTCAACCCCTCAGTCTCTTCTTTCAGCAGACTGTTGTTCTCTTTTGTCTCTCTGAGATGGAAATTGAGAGATAATTGAAAGTAGTACTATAATGATTTATGTATGCATCAATCACAGAAAAAGTTTGATGATGAGAATGTTGATACCGTAAGAAACAGTTTTCCTCCCGCAGACGTTTAATTTCCCGCTCCAGTTCAGGCAGCCTGACCATTTCAGATTTCATGTTCTTCACAATCACAGAGTCTTGCTCCTGAAGAGCCAAACGCCTCTCCAACTCCTGCAGAAGGATAGCACCCATAAGAGTGAGTGGGACACAAATAAAAGGCAATTTCATGGTGCAAATGTATTTAACTGCTTCTGACATCCCTCGGTAGGGCTGTGCAATTAATCGCAAGCGACTGTCATGCGCATCTCGTCAGTAAAGCCGGTCCCATGATTAGTAGTAAATCTCCATCACCTGCTTTCAGATTGAGCGGCATTCACTACACAGAGCTGTAGTTCACTGACAATTAGGCAATATCACGTTCATAATCGCAGATGAATCGCATTCGATTATGAACAAGATATCGCCTAGCTTCTTAGTGAACTACGGCTCTGTGTATTAAATGTCGCTCAATCTGAAAGCAGGTGATGGCGATTTACTACCAATCACGGAACCCGATTACTGACGAGATGCGCATGACAATCGCATGTGATTAACTGCACAGCCCTATCCCTCGGTGCTCCAAACATCATAGAAATTCAAGAATAAGACAAACAGAAATACCTTCATCTTGAGTTCACTCTCTGTGCTGATGGAATGAGATGACTGCAGATTCTGGTACCTCTGACTGACATCCTGGTACTTCCTGTTAGCATCAGATGAAAAACAACACAGTACATCTGTATTTAAGAGAGAGTATGAGAAAAACTGTGTGTGTTTGTGTACATGGGAGTTCATACTTGCGCTGTACATCCAGTTGTTCCTGCAAGGCCTGAATCTCCAGGTTCTGGGTTGAGAATTTGGACTCCTGAATCTGGATCTTTTGATTGAGCCTTCGTGTCTCATCTTTCAACTCACTGATCATCTACAACAAACAAAATACTTCAATTAAACAACTGGAATCCAAACTGTATTAACAGAAAAATATATATATTTTTTAAAATTTAAACAAAACTAGATTTGCGAACAGTCATTTTATTTTTTGTGTATGTACACTACTGTTCAGACGTTCAGGCTTAGTACTAATTTTTTTTGTCGTTGAAAGAAATGAATACTTTTATTCAGCAAGGTCACATTTACTTAATTAAATGAGACTGTTAAAATATTTGTAATGTTACATATGTTTTCTATTCTAAATAAATGCTTTTCTTTTGAACTTTCTATTATGCAAAGGATCCTGGGGAAAAAATCCACAAATAAATTAAGCAGTACATCCGTTTTCAACATTACCAATAATAAGACGATGACGGAAAGATTGGAGTAATGAAAAGCTCTGAAACTGAAAAAAATTATCTTTGCCATGACAGGAATATATTAAATTTTTAAAATAAATTTTAAAATTAAAATAGAAAACATATGTTGTAATAATATTTAACATTATTATTGTTTTACTGTATTTCTGATCAAATAAATGCACCTTTGGGGCATAAGAGACTTCTTTCAAAAAAAATTACAAAAATTCTTATCAACCCCAAACTTTGGATGTTTAATGTATATATGCTTGCTTGCATGTATTTAGTTATTTACATTCACATATCTTGACATTCAGTCACACAGAAGTCGACATGCAGGGCATCAGTTGCATGAAACTTTAACAATTAAGTTATTTTGCATTGTCCTTCTCAAAAAAAATTATTTAATTATTATTCCAGAGACACCTGCCAGTTTTGTTGTTAATAAAATGCTGACAAGAATTGCACTAGTAAGCAGCAAACCACAATTTTGGCAGGCTGTAAGGTAACCTAGCAGCTATTGGCTATTACAAAAACAGTTACAACCATTGATATTTCACTCTAATCTTATGTTTCAATAGGAAATAATATTTGAATAGTTCATCAAACCATTTCATTATTGCATTTTTCTCTCTCTACAAATACTAATACAAAAGATACATGAACACACACACACCTGGTCTGCTTCAGTAAGTTTGCTGTCTTTTACATTTGCTTTCTTGTGGAGTTCCTCAAGGTTACGCTTTAAAGCCTTGTTGTTTTCCATTTGTTCATTAAGAGCTTGATTTGCTTTCTCTTCTCTTTCTTCCAGACGTCTGATCTTCAACAGTAACTCCCTGTTACGGTCAATTTCCCTCTGTAAATGTAATCAGACAGACACATACACACACAAACACAGGTCAAATTAGGTTTTTCACAGCAAAGACTGGATAGTCTAGCCTTGAACGCACCAAATCACATCCTAATGGATTTTGTCTACAGTGTTTTTACACTCTGTTTTAGGTTGCAATTTTTTTTTATATTGAGGAATAGGTTTAGAAAATGGGAGTAAGGGAACAGTAAAAGAAAATACTGCAGCAGAACAGATGATTTTCAGGAATATGCCAACTATCACTCACCTGTAAGTCTCTGGAGCTGCTGTGCGCCTCTTTCTCCAGCTCTATACGTGCCCGTTTGTGACTAAGCTCCATCTGTTGTTTTTCTTGAGTGAGCTGCAACAGGCTAGTGTGAGAACGGACACGCTCTGCAGCCTCCTCTAACTACCACACACAACAACAAAAAATTCAGTAATCTGCTCCACACATTATATTAAAGGAATAGTTCACACCCAGAAAGGAAAATTTGCTAAAAATTCACTCACCCTCAGGCTTTTCAAGATGTAGATGAGTTTCTTCCTTGGAACAGATTTGGAGAAATCACTTGTTCACCAGTGGATCCTCTGCAGTGAATGAATGCCGAGAATGAGAGTCCAAACAGCTGATAAAAACATCACAATAATCCAGAAGTAATCCACACGACTCCAGTCCATCAATTAATGTCTTGTGAAGCGAAAGATGTGCGTTTGGAAGAAACAAATCCATCATTAAAGGCATTTTAACTTTAAACCGTTGCTTCTGGGTAAAATATGACTACGTAATCCATAATAACGGTTCCTTAAGTAAGAGACTTTTGTACTCTCACATCAAAATCCACCAACATATTTGTTTAGAACTGTTTTTGCTTGCGAACGGTAGTTGGTCTGTGAAAGATTCAGACAAGACAACTTTTGCACTCTACTCGAGAAAGGAATATTATTTTAGCCAGAGGCAAAGATTTGAATTTAAAATTGTTTTAATTACTTAAATTTCAGCTTAATTTTCACTTCATTGATTTTAATTGATGTTAAAATAATTGACATTAATTGATGGACTGGAGTCATGTAGATTATTGTGATGTTTTTATCAGCTGTTTGGACTCTCATTCTGACGGCACCCATTCACTGCAGAGGATCCATTGGTGAGCAAGTGACGTGATGCTAAATTTCTCCAAATCCGTTTTGATGAAGAAACACACTCATCTTCATCTTGGATGGCCTGAGAGTGTGTACATTTTCAGCAAATGTTCATTTTTGGGTGAACTACTCTTTTAAGAGACATACTGCATTTTATGAGACCACTGAGTTGAAATTTCAATAAAAATGAGGGCTAAAATATGAAAGGAGTCTGTGACTTGCCTCCACTCTTTTAGTATAGAGCTTCTGAAGGTCACTTCTTCCATAGGCTGGCTCAGTCTCCAGCAAAGAGTGATCTGGACCCGATATCAAACTCTTGAAAGATTTTAGCGTTGAGAAGATTGTGGTGTCCTCCATGTCGTCCATATTGACAATGTCTTGACAGCCTTCTCTGCTGAGTTAGGAAAAATTTAAATGTATTAAAGTGTAAAAAGCCATCCATAAACCTCTAATACCTCAAGAAACCTACCAAAAATTAAACAATACTAATACATGGTAAGGATGCATGCTGTACCTCTTTAGGATGCTATTAACCAATAAATACAAGTACACCTGAAAGTTTATGGTGAATAATAAGGTGCATTTCAATTATCAACTTCTTCAAAAATAATATTAAAAAAATAATATTTTCAAATAATGTCTCTTTATTTAAAAAAACGGAAATATAGCCTTCTCTAGTATGTTCCCATTGTTGAACAGAACATAAGAATCTCAATAATTCATATTTTGTTAAAAGTTAATTAAAAAGCATCTATTAAATCATATCGTAGCGGTCTGGTGTTTTAAAAGATGACACTTGCTCACTTGACACACACTTACTGAGCGAGGAAATATTTTCCCTGATGGTATCAGAGGACGATACTATAGTACTTTGCTACATACCATGGTACTAAAGGTCTACCTTATTCATATATCATGACATTTAAACGGTAGAAGTACACTAGAATGTCTCTCAGAGAGTAACGTTACTGTCGTATTCTCATCGTACATGGTCCAACACAAGGTATTAACTTTTCCGACTCAATAACTCCTTAACACAGATGAAATAACGAAATAAAACTACTTTAAAATACTTAATCATGAGGGAAACATTAACAGAGACGCTATTTGAAGTTAAACCACACAAGCTAACAGTTCAGTGTGTTTAATTAGCAAGCGTTCAGCTAACTTTACCTCGCTAATATTCGTCAATAAAACATTTTTTTCACATACTAGAACGCACTAACATGCGTGTCTTTCTTTAGAATTAATAAATATATGAAATAGAAAGTACGTACCTCACTATTCACAGCCGTCTCTCTATGCGCTTGCTCTAGTTTGAACTTGCAGCAGTTTTGTTTCGTTGGTTGAGATGCCGCTACTTCGTATATGTGAGGAAATGAGAGCTGACTCGCTCAACAACACAACAGCGCCCCCTGTGTGGGCGAGCGGAATAGATTAAGTCATTCTATATACAATTCTCAATAACACGCGCTAAAACTATTATGTACGTCGATGCTGGAAAATCCAACTTATTCTTCTCGTTTATTGAATTGTTGCATAAAAGCAGTAACACACAAGCCCCTAGTGTGGTTGTTTTTTCCGGTTGCTGCTGGTTCATGAGCACGCGGAGGTCGTTCACGCTGACGCGCAGCTCATACGGTGACCGAGAAGTGCAAAGCAAATCACAATTCTGAAAACAAAATAACAAATTACAAACGCAAATGCAAGTCTAAAAAACAAAATAACAATTCAGAAAGTACAACAACAATTCAGAAAACATTATAACAAGTCAGAAAACACAATGACAAATTCGAAAACAAAATAACAAGTCAGAAAGCACAAGGACAAATCAGACAAACCGGAAAAGGTAGGTATAGTTTGAGACAGCGCCATTGGTTTGGGATTACTCACCACTGACTGGACGAGACATCTGTCAATCAACGTATACAGGAAGAACCAGCCAAAGAACAGCAGAGTCGTGGTAGAAAGTTTGGAGATTGTATTAAAGTAGCTCAGTTTAAATGTATTGTATGAATTGCCCTTACTCTGGAATAAAAAATGTGGGGTGTCTATTTACATTTAGTTAAAAGTGACTGTAAATCATCAGCTCCAGTGCCGCAGATGGATAAACATGTGTCATTGGCTTTTTGACACGATCGACCCGGGTTCGATCCCGTCTTTTGCTGAACTTTTTTTTTCTCCCTTTTCAAATCTCGTATCACATCGT